TAGCCAAAGGGTTGTGCCAGATTCTATTTAGAGGTTTACAAGTATACAAATATAGGACACATATGTCACATTTTTAAATGTGAACTGTTGTGAAAAAGTTAATTATTTTACTTCAACTTTACGGCTATCCACTACTTTGTATTGGTCTACCACTGAAAATCCCAATGACTTAATGAAGATTGTGAACACTTTCACGTACTCAGAAAGGCACTTTATCAACAAGACCATATTTACATTAACTTTATATTTCAAAATTATTCAGAAAGTATAGTTTAGTAATATAAAACCTAAACTATTTTTACAGTATCATGAATAGATTGAAGTGTCACTTCAGAAAGTCCTCTACGCCTTCTAGTGGTTGGATTAGCAAACTGCATGTTTTTGGACCGTACCACTGTATCCATTGAAAAGTAATGGAATACGCTCAGCATAAGGTAGATTAACATACTAAATTAAATATCTCCAGAATATTAAAATGAATTTTAGCCCAGTATTACATAATTTATTCCATTTTTTATTTTATTGTAAAAAAACTAGACAGTCAAAGTGAACTAGTCACCCATCTGCTTTCTAAAATGGTACAATCTCCTCTGGTTCTATTTCCTCCGTGTCTGTCAAGCTATCGGTAGCCATGAGGTAAGGCAAATATTTATTTACCTACTTGCTGGCTTTTATCTTTATCGTGGTAAACAAAAATGGTGTTGGTTTTGACATTTAAACTTACACACTCGACTCTAGCTCTTGCTCACTTTCGGTGAACGTGTTAATTTCACACAGAAAGCCGCTTTCGGCCTGTGTTGGAAAGCTAGCTATGCTAACATGTAACCAGACATGTCTGAACGTGAATCCACTGCGTGGCTGCGAATTAGCAACACGTCGCTCTGACTATTTATTATTAATGTCTGCCATATGAACAGAAAACTTCATTTTCTTCGGATTGTCAAAACCTCATTGTGGTTTTCATATTTGAGTTTACAACTATTAGCAACCATAAAGTAGTTTTTATTTATAAAATTCATTAGCTTAGTTAACGTTGGTTTACTTGTCACATTGATTTCCCCAGTTCTAAATGTATAAGGTACCATTGACCTAAAACCAATTGGTGACAATCTAAGATATTGATAGGTCAAAGTGATTTAAACTGAAAATAGTTTAAATCGATTTATTTTAAATATAGCCTACCTAGTTATTTTACAGCTCTCGCTTAATGGGAAGAGTAGTTGTCTTGTCAAGTTCCCTACTGATCTGTGTACCTATCCATTCATCAGCATCTCATATTCATTCATCCATTCACCAATTTCTGTCCTTCTAATTTATATAAACATTTGTATCATTACAAATGTTTATATAAATGGATGAGACAAATGAGTATCCTGGAGTAAAAGCACTGAGTGGTCTGAATACTTGAGTATTTTGAGTGTGAAACTTGTCTGAATCTTATTTATCCACCTAATAATTTTTGGTTATTTTTGTACATACAGCATGCTCAGGCTCCAGAAGCGTCTGGCCTCCAGCGTTTTGCGCTGTGGGAAGAAGAAGGTGTGGCTGGATCCCAATGAAACCAATGAGATCGCCAATGCAAACTCCCGTGAGTTCAGAATAAAGTGTGAAGCATGTGGTGTTGTCTGTGATGTGCTGCACTTGTCTTATTACTCTGCGATTGTGTTGCAGGGCAGCAAATCCGAAAACTGGTGAAGGATGGCTTGATTATCAGGAAGCCAGTCACCGTTCACTCCCGTGCGCGCTGCCGCAAGAATACCCTTGCACGCCGCAAAGGACGTCACATGGGCTACGGTGAGTCATTATAAATAAAAATTACTCTCTTACCATGTGAAAGTAGCTGAAAGTGAATTTGACATAATCTATATTTTATTGACTGTGACTTCCAAAAGTAGTATTAATTCCTGAGCTTTTAGACATACTGCCAAACATGAATGTATTATTTGGGGGGATTTTATGTCAAAACACAACAGGACATGAGTGCAAAGTGGTAGGAAATTTATACAAGACGTGGATCTGTGTATAGGCCTGTCACAATAACCAATAAATTATTAAAACGTACGATAAATTAAAACAAACTTAGATTTATGATTTATTTTTCTTTCTCTCTTTCTACCAAAAACAATGTTGTTTACAGAGATGTGAAAATTAATTTTATTTGTTGTTTTATTTTGGATATTTAAAATGTCTTCCAGTTCTAGTGTTAAATGTTCATTAAAATAAAAGATTTACTGAACTTTGAGAATGTGTTCTTGTGTTTTAACCATTACCATTATATCACTTAAAAATGATATTATCGTTTATTACAGTAAAATCTGGAACAATTTAACAAATCTTTTCATGACACTCCTAGTTGTGTAGTTGTGACAAGAATTGAACTTTTTTTTTTGGCCAACATGAAAGTAGGGAGCAAATATGTACAGTTCTTTTGAAGTATGTGGCAGTGATATGACAAAATGGAAAACGCCGAAGGTGATGGCTGTTCAGACATGGATTGTAAATGCTGGGTTATAGATAAATTTAAGATTTAACGGTCACTGTGTGCATGCAGATTGTAGGTCTACTTGTTAGCATTTCCAAATGAGCTTTACATTTCATTATGCTTTCCTTCCCAGGTAAACGAAAGGGTACAGCCAACGCTCGTATGCCAGAAAAGCTGACATGGATGAGACGTATGAGAATCCTGCGCCGTCTTCTTCGCCGCTACCGGGAGTCAAAGAAAATTGACAGGCACATGTATGTGGGAATCTCCGTTAATGTGGTGAATAAACTTGTGTTTCACTTCCTTTTACTATGAGTGCCTCTCTCTATATCAGGTACCACAGTCTCTATCTGAGAGCTAAAGGTAACGTCTTCAAAAACAAGCGTATCCTAATGGAGCACATCCACAAGCTGAAGGCTGATAAGGCTCGCAAGAAGCTTCTGGCGTAAGTTTTGTCATCGTTTTTTTTTTTTTTTTTTTCGATTCAACTACCTGAGGTTTTGTTGCTGAAATTAATTTCTCTCGTTCATCCGTGCAGCGACCAGGCTGAGGCGCGCCGCACCAAGACAAAGGAGGCCCGCAAGCGCAGGGAGGAGCGTCTCCAGGCAAAGAAGGAAGAGTTCATCAAGAACTTGTCAAAGGAAGAGGAGACAACAAAGAAGTAAATGCAACATGTAAAAAAATCTGTCAGGTTCAGCTTTTGTTGTTAATAATAAAATTCTATGAAATCAATCATCTGCTTTTATTGTAAATATTAATTTCTGGGGGAAAAACAGAATTGTGAAGATTTTTGCTCACTAAACAAGTCAAGAAAATATGGGTGTGTATCCACTTTAGGCCAACAGGTGGCAGTAGAGCACCACATCCTGTCACAATGGACTCCTCAATGTTTAGTTCAGTGTGGTCAGATATGCCTAAATGCAATTACCTGCATGATTTATTTCTAAAACTGGCTGTGCAAGGTGGCAGGTTTGGTTTCTGAAGCATGAAGATGCTCTACAAATCAAATTATCAATTAATGCAATTTGGTAACATAATATGTAAGTAATCAATAATTTGTGTATTGCACAATGTTTTACTAGAAAGGTATATTTCCATACATTTTTACCTAGTATATGGTGTGACTGTAATGTCAAAGTATTTCAAGTACAATAGACATGTTCAGGAATGAACATGTCTATATTATGTTTACATGTCTACATGTCGATATTTTTGCTGCTGCAAAAATATCGAGAGCTTGCATTGCAGAGACCAAGTCGGCATATATACTTTGACAGATAAAGTTTTATTCTGTAAATTACATTTAATTCCAGAAATAAAGAAGTTTGATATTTGAACAAAATATAAACTACCTGGTTTTATCCTTCAGGCGATAAGGAACACTTAATCAAACGAAAAGACGATAATGAAAGAATTATTTAATTTAGTAAGTGATTGGTAAATCAAAATATAACCTTTGGTAACAACAATATGCAAGAGGCTCTAGAAATGCTTTATTTTCTTAGGAGCTAAAAATAGCAATTTTTTTTTTGTTGAAACTGCATTTCTAATTTCAGAAATGTGACTACACGTGTCTGAACACAGACTGCACTGACATTGAACTAAGACCCAAGATTGCTATTGATGTTTTACTATTAATAGATTCCTATGTTTTGGCCTGCTTCACCCTCAGCGCACAACACCACAGCGTCCTGAGCTGCTGCAAGGTTTTTCACACAATCACATCATGCAGCCAAGATAATCTTGAAGCTCTTTTGGTAAAATGTTTCTCTACAGTTATCTGTTTGTTGGAGCACGAAATATCCTGCTGAAGTTTATCCTGCTGGTTTTCCCGGCCTCAAATGTCACATCTTGATGTTTCTAAAGTTGAAAGCTATCAGAAGAGTTATTTAATAAAGCTTGCGAAACAAGAAAAAAACAAAACTATTTTATTTTTAATTTAAATTTGGTTTCAGATAAAGTTGCACAATATATCTTGAATTCATTATCTCAATATTACCTCAATATTGCTCAAGAATATTGCATCGTGAGCAATATTCACGATGCATGGAGGGCAATAATGGATTCCAGAAGTTAAGAAATTCCGTTTTGCATGCTAATGTGATATTCTGCCAGTTGGACAGAGTCTCACAGCAGCAGATGCTCTCGCTCAAAATGTTAGAGGAAGAGAGGAAAGAAAGACACATCACATCCAATCGTCATTGTTTTTAGGCTGGTCACAATAACAAATTCTGCTGGACGATAAATTGTTCCAGCAGTTATCGTGATGAACGATAATATTGTTTTCAGACATAGGGGTAACTTCCCGAAGGACTGTTGTGCGCATGTCCCCACCAATATTTTCTGCACATTTTTTTCTTTATGTGAATGCATAAAACTGCACGATGTATTCAAAGCATTAACAGTTAGTTCAGGATTTTTAAAAATTCTTTTCTAAAACATAAACGGCAAGTCCGCTCAGTGATCTAATGGATTGGACGTCACGTGACTTCCTGTGTGCGCCGGTGGTCGGAGGAAATGACGCAATAAAGGAAAGAATCTAAGAAAGGTTTTGATATCAGTTGCCAACACTACGATAGCAAGATAGCAAAGTCCAAAGGGATCACATTTCACAGGTCAGTAAAAGCTTCATTGGAAATATATATTTTTACATGCTATTTTGTGTGGGAAATGTTTTTGCGGGGGATTTTTGTGTTAATTCCTGATGCATTTGAAACAATTTCTGCTCCGCGCTCCCGAAGCTGTTTACTGGTTGCCAGGGCAACGGGTCGTCACCCGTTTTTCCTACATCTTTCACCTGAACTGACTGCGTCATGTGTTCGCCATATTCAGAGCAACCATCAAAAAGGATGGAATATTTCAGAAAGCCAAAGTTTGTTATGTTTAAACCATGACCCCTACAGCGACAATTAAGTAAAGTTAAATTATTGGGCAATAAAAAAGATTAAATAGCTGTGTACTCTCTTGTATCTTTTGCAGAACTGACGGAAACCAAACTTTAAGAGCTTTAAGCCAAAAAAGTTTTTGCATCTTTAATATTTTGCTGTATTAAAGACAGATCACATCTCATCTGCCATGTGAAAGTCACCAGGACAAAAGGTTTTGCCAACTGAATCAGAATCGCATCATTGAAATTACTTCAGTTTTAACATATTTATATTTTGTAGTCTGTTTCATACCTGCTAAAAGGTTATTTTTTAAACGTACTATTAATCTGACAAGCCTGATCAGAACGCATGTCCTCGTTAATTGAATAAGACTGTCTGACATTCACATGTAAGTTTTGGCTTTATTCTTAGCACTGAAAAAGAAAAGGTCTTTCACTAACTGTGGTTGCATCAGCGCTCTGGCCTCCCACCGGGGCTCATCCTCGTCCCCACCACGCAACGCAAAGTTACACCCCTGCTTTCAGACCATTTTAAAGTAATCTAATAGTAATGGGAAGACACAAGAACACAAGATCAAATATCAGTAACTTTAAATTCTAATGAACATTTAACACTGGAACTGGAAAATCTTTTAAATATCCAAAATATATAAACAAAACAAATTCTGAAGTCTTATGGAAACAAAACTGTCCTTCAAAATAGTTAAGACCAAAACACCAAGCTTAAAATGTGTATCCTCCAGTATTTGGTAGAAAGTGAGAAAAAGAGATACATCAAGCTAATGGAAATTATTGAGTTTGTTTTAAACTCATCATGCGATTAAGTGATTTATTGATTATTGCCACAGACCTAGTCATCGTAATATTTGCCAATATTATTGTAATCGTAAGACTTTCTAAAAATGGGTAGCCCTGATTTTAAAGTGCTACAGAATCCAGGAAGGCTTCAATTTCCTTCTGCACAAATGGCTTTACCAAACATTTCATTTAACCCCCCTTGCATTTATTACCAATAATACCAAATGGATCATCAAACACAAAACCAATCCTTGTAAATAACTGTGGCCTCTGCTGGAATGTGTGGTAGGAGTTATTGGAGGAAAATGCAGTTTTTCTTTTTCCCTGTGGCCGTTTTGAATGCATTTCTTCATTACCATGAGGCAGTGCTATTTCCTGGAGCGTGAGTCTTAATGGGATTAGATGAGGAGAGGAATATGAGCTGAAATGAAACACCGCTCTTTATTGCATTTGGCCTTCAACCCAGGCGGGACAAATGGAGCATGCTGTGAAGTTAAGGAGACCCTCAATAACAATCAAAATAGAAGTAATTAAAGAAAAAATTCATGTACATATAGAGTGATTACTGAAAACATTGACATAAAGCTGACAATATCACCAAACATTGTCAGTTTGATGATCTTACTGCTGATTTTATTGATTTCTTTTGCCTTTTCATCCCATCTAACAGAAGTCAAGAGGTTTTCGTTTCACATGAACGCAAAACAAAAATGACTGCTGTTACTCCAAATGGAGATTAATTGAGATAAGTTTGAGTCTGGGTTCCTGCAGGACTAAGAGGTATCATGTGAGCACAGTCGTGAAGGAAATGATTGTAAAAAGTGCGGCGTGAATTTATTTTCATCCTCCTCAGTCGATGCTTTGCAGAACCACGCTGCTAGTGTTTTGGAAAATGTCTTGTGGAAATTCACACAAAATCAACAATTCCCTGCACTTTTTTGCGCTAATAATTGGGAGTTTACTGCAGATTTTTCCTCAAAAACTTTCTTATTCTATTATTTAATTGATGTCAGATATAGTCCACGATCTGTTCAGCGATTAAAAAGTCACATTTACCATCATAAATAAGCACAAAATTGCAAATTAGTACCACAAACACAAATCACAAAAAGAATCATAAAATCCTGGAGGGACTGAAAAGATATTCAATATAAATATTTTAATGGTTTATGAACAAGTTTTATAAATACATTCTGACACAAGAGGATTCATGATTTTGATTTGACCCAAAACAAAGATGAGTTTGACGCCTCTGGTTTTGAAGGAATGAAAAGGCAAAACAAATTTGATTTTTTTTTTTCTACACATATTTTAAATCACAAATGTCCCCGAGTACTCAACAAAAAAACTTAAGGTGTCTTTTTATTATGCTAATGTTGAAGAAAATGTGTTGGAGGGCTGCCATGTTGAATCACGTTAGCAGGTTGTACAATACAAAATGATGATCTGTGATTTAAAAAAATAGATTGACTCCTTTTTCTCTGGTTTATGTTCTACTGTACAGCTCTGAAACATTTAACAGTTAAAATGATCAATTCTCCGGCTTTACTTCTTATAAGTATATGTGTAAATAAAATGAACGTTATTCTTTTATTCTAAGAACTACTAACATGTCTGCGAAACACCAAGAAAAAATTATGCATTCTTAAGAAACTGAAGGAATTGATTGATATAATTTCTCAGTAAAAGGTTAAAAACTACATTAATTTGATTGATAAGATAACATTTAAGCACACTAAGTGTTTAGAATCTAGAGGGCCACATACAAAGCTGTGGCGGGCCGGATTTGGCCCACAGGCCTCGAGTTTGACACATGCTCCAGAGAATAAAAACAAGATTCTTTCATAACTCAGGCTTTCATAATTAATCCGTCAGAGGGCTAGAGTACGGTTAGCAGAGCGTGTGGGATTGTAATCTGTGAAGCAATCTGACAGACATACGTAGAGTGTGAGGCAGATTCGCAGTGGCAGGAGAGGAGACCTTATGATGCTGGAAAATAAATCTGAACAGACTCAAAGCTGGTAACAAATCTTAGCTTTCAGACGCCGCACTGCCGTTCCTTCAGGTTCAGACACTTCACACGTGGAAATATTTGATTTCCATCAGCAAATATGCAAAGGCACACTGTAATGTAATGCAGTAATATCTGCAGGCCTTCACTTTGCAGTGAATCTCGTTGCTAAAAGACACTTCGGGTTGCACTGATGCTGTTGTCAGTAAGGATTTGGAAAATACAGCCAGAGCTTGAGAGCAGGCAGTGCTTATCGACGCACACAGCAAAATTAATCCACACTGTGACAGCTGGACTCTGAGAGCTTTATTTGACTGTAAATTAGTCAGATGGGGACATTCATCAATAACTGTTAAGCAAAATTAAGTAAAATGCAAAATAAAGTAATTTTTTTCTTGCTGCATAATCAGATGATTAATTTTTTTCACAGCCTGCAGGAAGTGTGTGGACATCTTTGAATAATGTATTTGGTAAAATAACACTCATTTTTTTAGAGATATTTTTGTAGCTTTAGCAACACTGAACCTGCTTGAATCATCTGTAGAAAATACCTGGAGCATAGATTAGCTGTACTGTAAAAAAAAAAAACACAACACTGCATCTCTTCTGCGTGACAGTGATAAAAAGATCCAAAGTCTCTGGGGAGGAAAAGCAAACAAAGCTGGAGTTGAAGAAGAAGTCAGTGATTACTGAAGCTGAGGCATAGAGACGAGACAGAAAACATCGTCATTGTAACCATGGCAGGCAGCACAGGCAATGCATCAGAACATGCACCGCAGAGAAGGAGGTGCATTTCTGCAACAGGAAAATGCTCAAGTCTGACCAATGTATTACAGTGGTAAAGAGCCAAAAATGTGGGGTAATTTTGATGTCCTGTAGCCAAAAATCATATTGGTTTTTACTCAATCAAGTCAATTTTCAAATCTATGCAGCAACATTAGCATCACAATGCAATACTTGTTTCACATGGTTTTCTGAGAATCCATCAGGACATAAAGAGATGGAAAATTTTGCACAAAGAAGTTGTAATGTTCAATTCTCATGTACATGTTTATTTCTCAATTTGCAGAAATACAACTTTGTGACATTTAATTCATATACTCTGTCACTGAAATTCCAAGCAGAAATTTTGTATTTATTTGCAGAAAATAAGAAATGGTGAAAATAATAAGAACAATGTTTATCTGTCGCTAAAAGACGAGCTCGTTTTCTGGTAACAAAGTGACAAATTTTTGCTTTTACAAAATTTACCAACTACATTTCTTTTGTACTAGCAGTTAAGCAGAACGTTAAAAGAGCTTATGTTTTATAGACAATAAAATTACTTATTAATTTAGTGTTGATAGAGGAGCGTTTTTTTATCTGGTGACAAACTGCCATGAAGTATAAATTACATTTTTACTTTAGTGTTGAATGTCTGTTTTATAAAATATTTTCTAACAATGTCAATTTGTTTTAAACTTTTCTGCAAAATTCACCAGCTGCATCATTCTTGTTAAATAATAAGTTTCAAAAGTTTTAACAATAACAATCTGTTGCTAGGAGATTAATTTTATAAACAATTCTGGCGAGGAAGTGCCACAAAGTAAACATCTGATTTTTACTTTTGCAAAATTTATCAACTGTACATTTCTTGTGTCAAAGCAGATAAGCAATATTTCCAAATATCGTATGGTTTATAAACAATAATTCATTTGGTGATGAGCATTTTTTTCTGGTAACGAACTTCCACGAAGTATAAATAAAATTGTAACTTGTGTTGAATGTTTTATATTTTCCATCAATGACAAAAAAAAAAAAAAACATTTTCACTTTTCTACACACAATTCACCAAATGCACAATTGTTACTAAGTAGAACAGGATAAGTATTGTTTCAAAAGAACAGAAGAAATCTTACGTTTTTTTGAACAATATCAAT